TTTCATCAGGTGTAATGATTGCAAGAAGGATAAGCTGGACACCACTCACAATACTATATCGAAAACTCATTAGGCTTTTATAAATATCCACCAAGAGCAAATGGGGACTTTAATAGGTTATTGTCTGGGTCTCAGCAGAAAGAGGATTGTCCTAGTTGCCAGGGGTAACTCCTTGTCTGTGGCCCATGGACAAGCGTGAACAGAACAGCTGTGGAGCCAGCATTTACATTGTGTGAGCAAGGGATGGTGCCCATTTATTGACAAAATTTTAAACAGGGAGGGCAGTGTTCTTCCTGCTGTGGTCAAACCCAGTGGCTCATTTCTATTTCTCTCTGCCTCCCCTCTGCCATCTGTGCAGGCTGTCGCTTTCAACATCTCAGAGGAATCAGAGTGGCATTGTATGGAGATCTGATTAAATTGCCAAGAGAAAGCAATCCATCATTGATAGGGGCAGGGAATGGAGACCATTTACAATGGGATCTCCATCACTTTTTAAGATTTGCCTTTGTTTCTGCTCACTTTCATTTTAGTCTAATGTCAAGCCATTAAAAAACAGCCCGTAATCTCAAAGAACAGAAATTTAAACTCTTAGACAGAGATGCTAATGAATTATATAGGTGTTTTTTTTACAGATCTCAGAGGTGAATTAAATTGCATTATACCAGGGAGAGGGGGGAGGGCTGGTATTGGTGCGAAATCCCATGAATTGAACATGGAAATTCAGCTTTCTCATTAACAAATAAATAGGTAAATAAAATACCCTTACAACTTTACTTTAGCTAATAGTGAAATAGGATATGGATTTGGTGGTTCTTAAGAGAAGTCTAGACAGCCTTCTGATCATTGGTGGTAGGAAGAATTACCGTATTAATGCTATAACGTCAAGATGTTGAAATAGAGACTTTAGAAAACTAAAATCCACACATTTTTTAGTTATGCAACTTCACTGGGTGACTTTCAGTTAGTCACTGTTTCCTGACCTCCTTACCCTGCAGGATTATTGATAGCTCCTAAAGTGGGATGGAAGGAAAGGTATGTATAGACATATTGTTATGACTGTAAGCCACCCATATGGTAAGATGGCTAGTTAATACATTTTATAAATAAATAAAGATTGAAGAATGGAAGGATGAATGGGTGGATGGAGAGAGAGGAAGAGAAAAGAGAAGGGGAGGGGATGAGAGAAGAGAAGAGAAGAGAAAAGAAGAGAAGAGAAGAGAAGAGAAGAGAAGAGAAGAGAAGAGAAGAGAAGAGAAGAGAAGAGAAGAGAAGAGAAATGTTAACAATCCCCATTGGATTTTATGAGTGGTCCAAAACTAAGGAAATATACATTTGTGAAATGTGACATCTCTTATATATGGAATTCATAGACAGATGATATGCAGAAAGGTAATAGATAGGACGGATAGACAGACAGACAGACAGACAGACAGACAGACAGACAGACAGACAGACAGACAGACAGACAGACAGACAGACAGATAACTAGGAAATGGGAATGGGAATATCTGGGTGGATACAGAAATCCCATGAAGGGGTCCACATTGCTCACCTGGGACAAAAGTGACATGGAAGCATCAATTTCTACACAAGAATGATTCCAACATCTGCATCCTCATTTTTTCTCACAACACAGGGCAATTCTACCTCTATTTGCTTGCCTCCACTCTATCAATAAAGTACTTTCTACCACATGGGTGCTTCCAATTAAATATCAGCTGAATGACAGTAGTGAACTAGATAGATGCTGTTGTGTAACATATGAATTCATAATCATGTTGCTAATAATCAAAGCAGTGGCTTGCATGGTTAGGACTCTGGGCTGACAATTGTCAGGCTTACGTTTGAGAGCCTGTTGCTGCTGTGTGGCCGGGTGAGCTCCTGTCACTCGCTCCAACTCCTGCTAACCCAGCAGTTCGAAATTGAGTGCCCACAAATAGATAGATGGGTACCGCTTTGGTGGGCAACTTAACAGGGGCACGAAAGGAGCCCCCAATCAGGCATTCCCTGGGCAACGGTGATGTCACTGGCTAATCCTTTCAACCTGAAAGCACTTTGGTGCTTCTGACATGAATGGGATGGGAAACAAAGCACTATCCATGGAATGCTGTCCCAATGAAATGGGAGGAGAGAGCATCAATGTGATCAGCATTGATAAATTCAGTATCACTTCATAGATTTTTATTAATACATGAGAGTTCAATACAGAGAATTCTCTACATCTAGCCTCTTTCCACACTATTTGACAACAACACATCTTGTGTTAAATGTCATAATACATGTCAAAAAGTATTTGCAACGGGACATCAGAATGCTGTCCATGTCACCTATGAACCGCCCCTCCAGAGGCTACTGCTCTCTGGTTTTGCCATGAATTTTGTTCATGTTAAATGACTGCAATAGTGTTCATGGTCACAGATACCGATTAAGTAGCTAAATACAAGATTAGTGAACGAAACACATTGAATGAGTACATGGACATAAAAAGAGAAACACTATCACTAGATGGAATTCTCACAGGTTCAGAAGAACATTTGAAAAGGAGTCTCCAACAAGAGTATTCAATCTGCTTTTTTGATCCACACATCACATACATTTGTTAAGTGTACACTTAACAATTGATAGTTGAAATGACTCAGATTATTTTCAGCATTCCTGTTCAAAAGCCTTTGCGTTGGGTGTGTTTGCATATACCTCTATTCTGAACAATGAGTTTGTTTAAACCTGGAAGAATAGTGAAAACAGCAGTGAATAGGAAGAGGAAAAAAGCAGAAAACCAGGTAAAGGTAGTCCTCAAATTATGACCACAGTCGGGTTCAGCAAGGTGGTGGTTAAGTGAGTCCCACCTGATCTTATGACATTTTTTTGCTATAGTTGTTAAGTGAATCACATGGTCCTAAGTGAATCCAGCTTCCTCTACTGACTTTGTCAGAAGCAGGCTGGGAAGTTTGCAAATGATGATCACATGTCCCTGGGATACTGCAACCATCATAAATACATGTTGGTTGCCAAGCACGTGAGTTTCGATTACGTGACCATGGGGATGCTACAATGGTCGTAAATGTGAGAACCTGTCATAAGTCACTGTTTTCAGTGCAGTTATAATTTCAAACGGTTGCTAAACGAATGATTCTAAATTAAGGATTACGTCTATTATTATTTTTTATTACAGTATTTTCATTTTAATAAGTGTGTTCCTGCTTTTTTTTAAATCCTTCCTATTCGCTATTGCTCTCTTCTAACTGCATATAAGACACTGCAATCCAGTAATTATTGTTATTGAAGAATAGCGCATGCTGCATGCATATTTTTTTTTCTTAGTTTTACCTGTTCCTCCTTCCAGAGCAATACTGAAACAACAGTCCAGTGCCAGACAGCTTAAAATAACCTGATAACACATTCTGTTTGAACATCCTCAAATGATATTTTTGTTACAATGCAAAGTATTTTAATTATAGCTGCCCATATGGAAATAAACAGTTTGCAACAGGGATAGTCAGGGCCATGAATGACATTATCTTCCATCAGGGATGTAAAAAAAAAAATCTATTATATGCGTCTTTCCAAGAAGAATTTTGCAATCTATCAAAAAAAGAGAAACTGCTATGGCACGAACAGTCACGTATTTTATACTATATCAGTTGTCTCGGAATATTTTTAAACTCCAGCACTGGATATAAAAATGTGTCTGCAGGCAAAAATATACATTTGGCAGCATGCGGAGGAAGAAAAGTATGCATTGGGAATGTTCATGTAAACAACATTATGTATTAAGACTAGTTACATAAAATGAATATATAAGGATAAATTGCATGCAAGTGTACATTGGGGAAAATGTATACAAACTAAAATGTGTATTATGTAGGGCAAATGGTTTTTTTTTCTCTTTTGCTTAAAAAGATCACAATGCATTTGTTTGATAGATTAAATCTGGAGGAATGTCACACTGACATGGATTGGATATAGATTGGATTGGATGCACATTTTTTTGTTTTTCAGGTTTGTTTATCATAATGTACTAGCCACTAAAGAGACAGAGAATTTCCCCTGATTTTTCCATAAAGTATTGGGAAGTACCCAGCCTGGCAGGGAGGAGGACTCAAGTGCAGAATTAGCATGGAATCACTGCACAAGTGACAAAGGACCAATCTTTGGAGTCTTATCTATTGGTTCCCAAGAGAAGTCTGTCAGTCTGGGGAGATTCCTGTAATTTAGACAGAACGTAATAAAGTAGTTGGGACAGCACATTGGCTCAGTAGTTAAGACTCAAGCCCAGAGTCTTGTTGGCTGGAAAGCCAGCAGTTCAGGTTTGAGACCCGAGCACCATGTGAAGGGGTGAGCTCCCGTCCTCGTCCCAGCTCCTGACAACTTAGCAGTTTGAAAGCATGCAAATGCAAGTAGATAAATAGGTACCAATTCAATAGGAAGATAACAGTGCTCCATGACATCATGCTGGCCAAATGACTGTGGAAATGTCTTCAGACAGTGCTGGCTCAATGGCCTTGAAATGAAGATGAGCAGGCCCCCCTATTGTCAGCAATAACTAGTGTAGTAAAATCTGCAGGGACTCCTTTATAATAAAATAGTTAGCTTGAACTCTGCATGTATCGGTCTGGTTGTTTGTGGCTAACATAAAGTTCCTAAAAAGTTCCTCTCAGGAGTCACCAGGAAAAGTAAAAGCACCACTTAGATATGGATGTGTTTCTACCCACCAGGGTGGGGTTTCTTCCCAAGGGAGATACTTTACGTATCTATCTAACATATTCCATAGCTCTGATGAGCTCAGAGGTGTCTCACTTCCCTCTAAGGGCAATTCTAATGGCTTTCTCCTGAAGTAGAAACTGCTGACGCATGTCGTGAGTGATTACCCACCACTGTCATTGCAACCAACCAGCCTATGAGTAAGAATGCTGCCATACATCAGAGGAAGGCACATATTTCAAAGGTCTGTTAATAATACAAATTGAAACAGGAAATTCTGAACATTCTTTGCAGCTTACCAGGTTCGGGGATGATTAGCTGTGCACTGGTTTGTGCATTCCCAGCTTCATTTTCAGCTACACACTGGTAGAAGCCTTCATCTGATTTTACTAAGCCCAAGATCCGCAGATTGCTGCCTCCCTAAAGAGATAGACACAAGCCAAAGGGTTATCTTGGAGCCGTGAACTCAAGGAAAGGATCAGATTAGGAACAACTTGCTTTGAGTATAGGTAGTCCTCAAATTGGGAGTAGAGTTTTTGTTGCTAAGCAAGATGGTTAAGTGAATCACATCTGATTTTACAACTATTTGTGTTCATCACTGCAGTTATCAAATTAGTCAGGTAGTCATTTATTTATTTATTTATATCTATCTATTTATTTATTTCTATTTATTGATCAAATTTATATACCACCGATCTCGCAGTCATGTGACTCAGTTGTTAAATGAATCCAGCTTTCCCCATTGAGTTTGCTTGTCAGAAGTTGGCTGGGAAGGTTGCAAATAGTTATAGCACTTAGCCATAGCACTTAGACTTATATACTGCTTCATAGTGTTTTCCAGCACTCTCTAAGCGGTTTTCAGAGTCAGCCTATTGCCCACAACAATCTGGGTCCTCATTTTATTGACCTTGGAAGGATGGAAGGCTGAGTCAACCTTGAGCCGGTCAGGATTGAACTCTAGGCTGTGGGCAGAGTTTGCCTGCAATACTGCATTCTAATCACTGCGCCACCAGGGCTCAGTGGGATATTTCAACCACTGTGAATGCATGCTAGTTGCCAAGCACCTGAATTTTGATCATCTGACCATGGGGATGGTGCAACAGTTGTAGGTCACTTTTTTAGTGTTGTTGTTACTTCAATGGTTGCTAAACAAATGGTTGTAAGTTGAGGGCTACCTGTATGAGCTATCCAAAAGTGGATCAGACCTCCTCAGAACATACACAGTGGACTCTCCTTTGTAGAGTCATTTCAACAAAAGCCTGCCTGACCATTTCTGAGGAATGCTCTAGCAAGGGATTCCCAAGAACAGAAGGGGACAATTTTAATAATTATAATATTTGTGCTTCCTTCCAACATTATTAATTTTTAGATACAAAATTCATTTTTAAATTTGTTTGTCAGGTTCAGCATTTGAATATGTATTCCTGCTCTTAGGCCTGATCTTTCTTTGGCAGGCAAATCATTGTTACCTCAGAAATCAGGTCACCTTGTTGAATCTTTTTTTATCCTGTGATCAATTGAATAATCAACATATAGAGCATAGTATCATAGAGCTGGAAGGGACCTCAGAGGTCTTCTGCTCAAGGCAGGAAACTCTATACCATCCCAGACAAATGGTTATTCAGTCTATTTTTGAAAACCTCCATTGATAGAGCACCCATAACTCCAAGAGACAAGCTATTCCATTGATTAATTGTTCTGTCAGGAAAATTCTCCTTAGCTCCAGGTTGAATCTCCCTCTGATGTGCTTCCATGCATTGCTTCTTGTCCTGTCCTCCAGCAGAGGAGAATAAGTCAATGTCCTCTACTCTGTGACTTTCCCTCAAGTATTGGAAGATACTTATCATGTCCCCCAATTTTTCTCTTTGATATGCTGGACAAACCTAATTTCCTTAACTATACATTATATTTGAATTTCCAAGAAACTACTGAATTGGGATGGACCACTCATTTCCCCCTAAGTGGACTTTTCAATATACTGAGATAGCTGTCACATGTCTAGAAATGAATAATGAGCTTCAAAGTTGAGATGAGTTATGAGGAGCATAGTGCATCTATTGTATTTTAAGAGATTAGTGACTAACGTTGTTTGTACTTGTCAGGAAGAAGTCGTTTGTATTTTTCTCTGTGTTTCCATTTCTTCTATTTTTTTACATTTTTATACATTTTTGTAGTTTGTATTACTTTTTACTTTCTAATTGTGAGCTTTAATAAAATTATATGAAAAAAAGGTGAGCTCTCACATATCCTTATTTTCTGAATTTTTTTCCTCAGGGAGATAAAGATGATTCATACTAAGCCCAGCTGGGCACCTGAGAAAAATGATAAAAATGATGATGATGTTTATATCTTTTATTTTCTGTATTTCCCCTTTTTAAAAACAGCAGGCGTTGTTATACGATGCTGTTCTTTTCTAAAATTTCTGGTATATCATAAGGGGTATATTTAAACTATAGCTTAGCCCAGGATGTTTGTAAAAAAAAAAAGAAGAAGAAGAGAACCTAGAAGAAAACAATAGCAAAAAAAATAAAAAAAATAAATTAAAAAATTACTAATACATTACATCTTAATATATTCAGCATGTGAGATTCCTAATTATAGAAGTTAATATTTCAAAACATGAAAAGCCTGAAAGTTAACTTCATTTAGAAAACACTGAATGAGAAAGATATATGCATATATATGCATAATTCTGTATATATATATATTTATTTATTTTTGTCATATTTATGCAGTGTATATTGGAGATGGTGACCCTTTGATAGGTGTATGCAACAAAATTTCATTTTAATGTATGCCAATTAGCGTACATTCAAAGTAACAATAAAGTTATTATTCTATTCTATTCTATTCTATTCTATTCTATTCTATTCTATTCTATTCTATTCTATCCTATATGTAGATATTTATTCATACATATCTCCCCTTATCACTATCCTAGAACCTTAATAAAATGTATATTTATTTAAACAAATGTGCTGACTCTTAATTGTTTATGCTGCTATAAAGTCAAAACTATGTTGTTAAAAGAACATAATGCTGCAGAGCAGAAAATAACTCAAATTCCTTATCTAGCACTTAAAATTGACATTAAAAGACATCTCCACTATCTTGCATAGGAGATATTTTTGCACTGTCAGTAGGTTCTTTGTTTTCTTTTTGTTTTTTAAATATTTCTTCTGAGTAAGAAAAAATAATTTAAAGGTCATTCTATAGCTAAAAAATTCTAAGTTGGCACCCTCTGCCATAAAACGTTGATTTCTAAGTGAGAGCTCAAAAAAAATAAATAGAAGGTTTTGCTTGGAACTGCAGGATAAAATTCCAGGCTAGCAAACTTGCATTTTCTGATTGTCTTTCTTATAAGCAATAATAATATATTTATGGTTAAGGTTGTATGGTCTTGAAAGTTCCTACCACCAAACAGGTCTTTTTTGAAAATAAGGAGAAATGATTCCAAGCCATTTATAAATAAAAGGTGTTTGATTTAGCTCATCATTGTCCATTTATTGACAAAAGGGTCTTGTGTCAGCAGATTAATATCCTTATGTATGAAATGTGTTAGATCTCTCACAACTAAGTTGTTAAAATGGGGAAAAAGTACTGTGTAGTCCTAATGTTTTAAGCCCCAGTAAGCTTCTTCTGAAATAAAAATAACATGCCACATTTGTGAGTGCAGAATTGTCACACAGGCATCCGTTTACAATGCTGAATATTAACTTTTGATTTAGCAGTTCTATTAAATATATTACAGATGTTCTGTATCAGTGTGCTTCCTTTCTGAGATGTGTGTATATGTTATTTGATAAAGTCTCAATTTTCATAAAATGATGGGCCTTTTCTACAGCAGCACAGTTGCAGGCACTGATAATGTTACCTAGTTGGGTAATGAAACATCTGCAAGAAAACAACCAAGCTCAGAAAGCACCAAGGATCAAAGTAACATAGTTTGATCTGTGGGGTTCTTGGTGATCTCTGAGGTAACTAGGTAACATCATCAGTGCTAGCCAGAAAACAGCCAGGCTCAGAGAACATCAAGGACCCAACAGTTTAATTCTGAACTAAAAATACTCTTTATAGTTTTTTATCTCAACCTCATTTTTCTCTGAAGATGCATCAAAGCCTCACATTAAAAAAAAAAAAAAACTTTTCCAGATCTTTCTTTAGTGATAATGTTCTTACACTATTCCCTGTTAGGTCAGGCTACAAATTTATAGCGCTGAATAATTTCTTTGACAATTTTTCTCTCTGTTTTCTTGGGAACCTGATGTTCCCTTGAATTTTGCTATGTATTCCATATTTAAGACCATCAGAGGCAGAGCCTTCCCTAAAGAAAAACATATCATGTCACAGATATATTTTAAAGTGTTTCTCTAGTCTGAAATGATAGTTCATTCCAGTGGACCCTGTCAGTATTCACTGGTATGAGGATACCATGGAATCTTCTACAAGATTCTACAAGAATTTAACTGCAGACAGCCAGATTTCTTCTTATAGAAGTCAAAGTATAACAGTTCAGAACTGAAGACATCTTTAAACCTCCTGACCTCAAGGACTCTCTTCTGCCCTAGTTTCAGATTTTAAACAAGAAAATCACTACTACACAGTTTGGTAACTATTGGGCCTGTAGGAGGCTGAAAATGGGGAAGGGGCGTTGGTCTTACCTGAACGCCTTTTCTCAGTACGGAGACGGAGACTCCACCAATGGGTTTTCTTTGTCTGCCTGCTCTTGAGACCAAGTATCCAAAACTTGTCACGCCCCCTCCTGCTGGTAATCCAGTCTTAACGAGGGCGAAGCGTTTGAAGATTGACGAGGCGTTGGCTCTCAGCACCCTAACACA